ATATTGGTGCTGCTGCTGCTGCTGGTGGTGGTGGTCACGGTGACAGTGATGTCACGGGGGCGTGAGGATGTGACGAGTGAGCAGGGGATGGAAGACAAGGAGAATCCACCGGGTGCACTCACAGCGACTGCATGTGTGACCCTGCTCATCACAGCTCGCCTTCCATACACTTACCTAATGAACGCTCCTCAAGGACTCACCAGGTGCCACGGGTTGTTCTAGGACTTTTCCCACAGAGAGGCCCTCACGTGTGCACAGTAAGTCCGGTGCGAGGATGTTCCCTGCGGCCCTGATGGACGAGAACGGGCCCCACACCCGGCAGCGGGGACGCTGTGGGACCCGGGATCTCTCCCTGAGCTCAGTGCTGGAGGCTCCTCCCACGTACCCCTCCATTCAGCAGGGGCCGCCCCCGGGGCAGTGACGGAGGGGATCCCTGTGAAGAGGGAGCCCCGCTCTCTGCGGGCTCCAAGGCACCATGGCAGGAGCCCAGCCCCTGGCTGAGCGCATGTGATCAGAGGTGGGAGGATGAGGAGGCAGGAAGTAGCCGGCAGGCAAATCTTGGGCTCTGGGGCCGTTGGTGGTTCTGTTCCCGGGGCCGCCCAGACCTGCTGTGTGGCCTCCAGGAAGTGCCTGACCCTCTCTGAGCCTCCACGGTCTCCCTGTGGGAACGGGCCGTGGGTGTCTTCCTCGTCAGCTCTTAGGATGCAACGGGACATGGCGGTGCGATAAGATAGGACGCTTGATGTACGAGGCTAATTTACATAATTACTCTTCTGAGCAGTCCTGATGCCGTGCGGACTCCCGGGGATGGGGTAGCCCCCTCCCCTCCCCGCACCCCTGCTAGCGCAGGGCCAGGTCCTGCGGGGCGGAACCAGGGAGGCCGCGGCTGGGGGACGAGGCCTCCGCGAGAGGGGCTCCTGCAGCGCGGGGTCCCCGCACCCCCGCTCAGCCTCCGGCTCTGAATCGGCCACCGCAGGTCGAGAGGCCCCGCACACCCTCTGTTTGGGCCCAGAGCCGGCTCTCCGCCGGGCAGAATGAAAGGTGCGGTTCGCGAGCCGGGATGAAGTTCACTCCGGGGCAGCTGCCGGGAGACGGACGGAGGTGTCGCCCCGCGGCACGTGCAGAGCCCCCCTCAGGGCCCCTCCCCGGCCGCGCGGCCACTCCAGCTGCTGGGCTCCGGCCGCGAGCTGTCAGCAAGGACGGAGTCCGGGAAGCGCTGATGTGGCGGGCCGGCGCCTCGTCTGGAGTCTTCTCCACCCCCGCGCGCCCCACATGGAGCAGGTGCAGGCCGGGCCGAGCTGCTCCAGGCTGAGATGGGGCCCCGCTCCATGGAGGCCGGGGGAGGCGTGACCCCTGCTGGCCTCCAGTTCAGGTCCATGACTCCCCTGTGTGTGTGTGTGTGTGTGTGTGTGTGTGTGTGTGCGTGCATGTGTGCGGCTGGGGGTCCCACTGAAGGACCGGTGACCCCCCTGGGGAGGTAACTCAGGGAGGAGGTCACTTCAGGGCCCGGCCCCCTGTATGTCCGTGATGCTCTTTCCTGGCGATTCTAATCCGAATCGAAGCTCTTCCGCTGCACTGAGTTTCAGCTCCTCGCCCCCGGAGCGCCTGCGTGGTCTGTGCACCGCCGGCTCCCTCCTGACCCTACACCACCTCAGCATCACCGACTTGTCATGCACCAGAGCCACCTGAGCTGAGCTGTGACGACCAGGCCCCTGGAGGGTGGCAATTGGGATGGGCGGGGACCATGAGGCTCAGCTAGAAACCCTCTGGCTTTCCGCGACCTGGTTTAGAGGGGCAGACGTATGGGGGTTCCGGGGTCTCCACCAAGAAAGTGAGTGTGTGAATGTACAAAACAGGCCTGGGCCCAGGGAAGGATCGGGTGGTCAAGGGGCCCCAGGGGGCTGGGCCCTCCTCCTCTCGTCCCTCACCTCCCTGGCTTCTCTTACCCCGCCTGTCCGAACTCCACGGAACCCGGTCCACGTGAGCTCATCTCTTTCCCTCACTCTCCACTCTGCTCCATCCACTGGTGCTGACGGGAAACACGCAGAAACCATAAAATGAGTAAGCAGCCTCCGCTAACGGTGGAGCGCATCTGCGTTTTGGCGTGGGGCCAGCATGAGGAGTTACAGCATCAGCCAGGTGACAACTGTCCCTTAAACGATACTCAACAAGACACAGACGCAGAGACACAGGGACTCACAAGCATGTCTGTCAACAGAACCTGGCTACAGACTGTTGCCTAAAGCTGACCACCCCGGGTGCCCTGGCCAGAGCCTCCTTCGGCCAAATCAGAGAAGCAACCACGGCACGGGCGTCCAAAGCGATGGAGCCGCTGGAAGCCCGGAACCTCCAGGAGCATCTGTGCGGTGCCCCCCCCCCCCCGCCCTCTCTGTGCCGGGTGAGCCTACAGTTTGCTCGTTCCTACGGAAAGCCCTGGGTTCTGCTCAAATACCTGGTCACCAAGTCCAGAGGCAGGGAAAGAACTCAAATGCTCGGAACTGGTACCGGCAGGTAAAACATCAGGGGCTAAGACGCTCGCTCTCCGGACTGTGCCCCACCGTGCAGGCCGCGGTCAGCCACAGCAGGCACGGTCTTCTGGGAAAGATGCTAACGCGGCCAGGTCACCCGGCCCTCAGCACCAGCACCTGCCCCCGTCTGTCTGTGTCTCAGTTTCCTTGGGGCTCAGGAACCTGTCCCCTGGCGGCCCTCTTCTATGGACGTCAAGGGGGATGGAGGCTTCCCTTAAATCTCCCCTCCATGGGTTACTGACCTGGGTACAGGGATTGGCTAAGGTGCAGAGGCCGAGTCCGTCTCCGCCGGGGGGCCCCTCGCTGCACCCTGCAAACCTCACTCAGAAGCTACCTCTTGGCCAAGACAAGGAGGCTCTGCAGAGCCAGACTCGCCGCCCACAGGCCCTGATGATGCCTGAGCAGCACGCGCGCCCCTTCCGTCCAGGCGACGGCACACCGCTGGCAGGGCCAGCGTGCCCAGCTGGGTGTACTCCTCAGGCGCCCTGCACGGTTCCCACCAACCCGATGAGGGCAGAGGAGCGGGAATCCCAGGCAGCGGGTTCCTTTAAGGGGTGGGCCGGCCTCCCTGTTGTCCTGCCGGAACACAGCTGTGACGGGGGGGGGGGGGGGGGGGGGCGCAGCCCTCTTGCAGCCAGGAAGGAGCCCAGGGGTCCCGGACCACACGCACAGCAGGTGCCCAGGGCACCTCGGAGGCCCCACCAGGCCTGGACTGCCTTCCTTGGGTCTGATGATGAGGAATAAATTCCCATTGGGTCAGGCTCTTGGTCCTTAACAAGTAGAAAAGTCACATACTTCTCACCCTCCTCCCCTCAAATGCTGCTCTTTCCTGGGGAGATTAAGAGGGAGGGAATCAGAAGTAGAACGTCGGACTCTCACAGAACAGAACACCATGTAACACATCTGGCAGGACCCTGGCCCAGGAGAGCACCTGGGCGGGTCTGGCCACAAGGACAGCTATGGGGACGCCCCCCACCCCCATGCCCTGAGCACTCAGGCCTGACAGCACGCACATGGGGCCCAGGGGCACGAGGGAAGTCCAGCAGAGCACCCCCCACCCCGTGGGATGTTCTCACAGGAGCCGTCCCCTCGCTGCTGTGGGGACTCTGTTTGGGGGTCCTGGCTGGAGGCTCTGAGCCCTGGGGGGTGGGAGGAGTGGGGGCTGCAAGGGGGCTGGAGAGGGGGGGTCCACTGGGGTCAGATGTCAAATCACCGCCCAGAACGGAAGCCTGCTCTTTACTTGGATGCCGAGGCTACCTGGGCCCACTGGCCTGGGGCTGATGGGGGTCAGAGCCCATACCCTCCACCGTGCGTCCGTCCACGCCTCTCCCAGGCCTCTCCCAGGCCCCTTCCTCCCCGACCCCAATCTCATACTCGTGGCCTCCGGAATTGCGGAGTACGCATCTGCCGCTCATGCTCACCTCGCTGGCCGTGTCCTGCGGCAGCTGCCTGAGGGACCAGGACACCTTCTAGGACCCTTCGGTCCCAAGCACCGCTCGGGCCACCAGTCAGCTCAGACACATGTGATCCTTTCTTGGGGCCGAGGCTGAAGCTCTCCCCACACGCCACTGGGGCTCCAGGGTGGGCACAGCGGGCCTGCAGACTGTCACACCAGGGGACAGCAGGGCCATGTTAGGGTGTCACGGGACTGTCCCTCCCAATTTCATCCAGCTCCTCTGACAGCTGTGGGTGACCTGGCCTCATTCCCGTGTCCTCTCTCCTGGGCTCAGATCCTGCCCCCCGTGGACGGCCCACCGGGGTCTCGGGGAGCCGAGGCGCCCTGGCTCTCTCCTGCCTCCATGGGCTCTGGCGGCTGCCGGCTCTGCTTACTTCCTAAGACCCGTGATTTATTTCGTCGGGAACAAATACCTCAGGTATGGTCCCGGCAGGGATGCAGGACCATGGTCATTCTGCCTGGGACCTGTCCTGGGGCCTCTGAAGTCCTGCGTCACATTCCATCCTCCATCTGCATCAAAAGCATCCCGGCTGTCGCCTCTGGACCTCCTTCTGGAATGTTCTTTCCAGGTGCCTCTTGCCCGTGGAATACACAGGTTACAAGTCAGCTACCCAAACACCCCGGGCTGACTTTCTCCGATGCACACATTCTGCAGACCGCATCCAAACACGTCATTTGCTCTCCATGTAAGGAGGGAGCTGGGCGTCACACGTGGCGTCTGAAGCGACCCCTTAACCTCTGCACACTGCTTCCTCCACACTCTCACTCCCAAGTCGTTGGGGAAAGCCAGGGGGCTCACGCCAGCGTCCTCTGTAACGGCAGAGTGAGCACTAACCATCCTAGCCACTTGTTTCTGACGGCATTTCTCAGGGGACACACATTTTCCACAGCAAGATAAAAACCCCTCCCTGCTAATTTATTAAACTGCTTTATAGCCTGAGTCTGACCAAGAGAGTTTATGATCAATATAAGTAATCTCAGTCTCTCTTTCTCAAACAGTCTTCCGCTGGGAAAAATACTGTTTTAATAACACAAACCACAAGGCAGACTCCCCTAACACACGTCCTTGGATGGAAGATTGGAGGGTAACCAGCTCCTCGACCAGAGACACGGCCCCCGAGGGGCCCACAGCGGCACCTCCCAAGAAGATAATATTTTCACTTCTGTAAGAGCTGGTACAGGTTTAAAACATGGCGAAAGGCTCATCTAGTTTAGAGTCCGGCTTGAGGACTGTTACAAATAATAAGCCGAACGTTTCGTCTTCTTTTCCAGTAACAGTCATCAGTTCCACTCGGAGTGTAAAGGAGGCGTCAAGGGGCCTGGCTTCTGCCCCCCGGAGCTGCCCAGGAGGATCCTGATGGGTGACCTCCGTACCCCTCACCTGTGACGCACGGACTCACCTTTCCGTCCGTTCCCCTGCCTCACGCTCACCTACAAGCAGCCCCACTGAAGGGGTCACAAGTGTGTGATCTGGGCCCACACCCGCCTGGCCCCGAGCTCGGGAGAGCATTACCTGACCCACCTCCTGGCTCACTGCACCCTGATTTTCCTCAAGGGCACCCCTCCCCCAGAGGGAACTCCTGTCGCCCAGGACCCAGCCAGCTGTGCACCCTCTCCAGCTGCAGTGAAGCTGCCGCCAGAGCTGGGCGGGGACTGTGTCCTCAGACATGGGAGCCCCCAGCGTGAGGACACTGGTCCACGTGGAAAGGGGGAGCAGGGTTCCAGTCTGGCGACGTGCTGATGAGGCTGGTTACTCGTCCACACGTTTCAACAACTGGAAGAAAATTACAGAAGAACTGAGTCAAACCACGTGACGTTGCCGCTGGGAGACGCAGGGTGCTTGTTAGCACACGTGGCTCCATGCGCCTGACCTGAGCGGACCAGCAACCGGGCCACAGTGCGTCGTGGTGGCCTCCGTGTTTCCAACAACGAGGCGGAGGAGGCGGAGGGCGCCTCCGTGACACGACGTAATCCGTGGTGACCGTGACATGGTGACCCTCCATGCAGCGACCCTGCTTCTCCAACGACACTTAACAGTCATGAACCGTGAGAATAAAATCCTTACCGGCACCATCATGACTGTGTCAGAGTCACGTACACACTTAACCCCGTGCGGTTTGTGTCTCAACAGAGGAGTTATGCTCCCAGATTTTTACTGTGAATCGTACTACTTTTGTGTTTTTTTTCTTTTTTTTTTTTATTAATGTTTTTTATTTATTTCTAGGAGAGAGAGACACAGTGTGAGCAGGGGAGGGTCAGAGAGAGAGGGAGTCACAGACTGAAACAGGCTCCAGGCTCTGAGCTGGCAGTCACCACAGAGCCCGACACGGGGCTCGAACCCACGAACCGCGAGGTCATGACCTAAGCGAAAGTCGGACGCTTAACTGACTAAGCCACCCAGGTGCCCCTGTGTGTGTGTTTTTTCTAAATAGAGAAGAATAGTCCCACGATTTAAGTGACAGACCTTTGCAGCGTACCTGCCTCCAAATCTCTTAACGATTGAGCCTCCTGGGTGTCTGCGGACTGTGTGTCGTACTGTGACTCAGGAACCTGCCACGTTTGCTTTTCTTGAGGCACGAACAGCAATGAGAACAGAGAACCACAGGTGGACGCAGATGGAGCCCTGAATCCTCCTCCGGAGAGAACAGAGAAGGGATGGACGTGTGTGAGGACGGGGCGGCGGACCCTGGTGTCTCAGAGACCTGAGTTCAAGTCCTACGGCCCCCACAGCCTCGCTCTCCCATTCGTCCTTCCTAGCCTCTGATTTCCAGCTACAAGGCTATTATTTGTAGCTCATTCATTCATCCTGTGTTTACTGAGTTCCTCCTCTGTCACATGCTATGCATTTTGTGATGAACAAAACCACATGAGCTGACAGTCTGGTGGAAAAGACAAATAGGAACTAAAGGACCACGTAAGGGGTGTGTCACCAAGGAAGAGGCGACCACAGAGTGATGTCCACCTGGTCCAGAAAGGGAAGGTCCCTTGGGGAATGATGGCAGAGCTGATACATAGGGGCCACTGGGAGTGGCCAGGAAGGTGAGCAGGGATGGTGCTTTAGGCAGAGTGAACAGCATGTGTAAAGGCCCTGGGGCTGCAGCAGGGGTGGACGAGGAGGAAGGTACAGGCGAGGCTGAGATGGGCAGGCTGGGCTTTGGGCCTTGGGGAGGGCTTCCTCTTTTACCCAGGTGGGAGGGGAGCAGGGTGGGTCCCCAGAAGAAGGGGCAAAAGACTAGACAGATTTCTTTAAAAGGTCATTCAGTCTGCCCCAGGAGTGCAGACAGGGCAAGGGACCATCTGTGGAAGTCAGTAGACCAGTGAGGGGGCTGTGCAGGTACCAGGGAAGACACGATGCTGTGTTCCCTGGGGGTGGAGGCCGTCGACATGGGGAAAGCCACTGGGTTCCAGGCATTCCAGGGAATTCTGGACAAGAAGTGGACTGGTTAGTGACGGGTCAGACATGAGGGGAGTGAAGGACAGAATACAAGGGACGACTAAGCCGACGGACCGTGCTTCCTCAAGCGGAGACTCCGAGTGAGCTCTGGGGTGAGGGGACGGAGCTCGCTCCTGGCTTGCTGACTTTGCAGGACCTGAGCCACCCACTGCATACGTCAAGGGGACCCCATGGCGCGTGTGCAGCTGGAAGACGGGAGTACTGCAGACATGTGAATCTTGGGTCCTCAACGGACGGGCCGTCTCAAAGGCTGGGGACCAGAGGGGAATCTGCGCGGGGCACCTTACGTTCAGGCTAAGGAGGGGGAGCCGGCCGGGAGGAGGGGGCAGGAGGAAACCAGGCACGGTGCTGCCACGTCACGCATGAAGGACGTGCACAGAGAAGGGTGGCCGGCAACAGTGTCAGGCCTGCGGGGTGGCCCAGGTACACCCGGGCATCGGCAGCCCTGACAGCAAGTGTCCATGTTGAGTGTGGGAAAGAGCAGAAATGGACTGGGTGCCCTGGTGAGGAGCAGGTGTGCAGTGGGAGACGCTTCGGACAGGGCCAGCTGCGAGGGGGGCTCCGCGGAGACATGTGGCCACGGGCAGGGTTAGCGAGCGGGCCGGCCGGGAGTGCAGACTAAGGACTGCCGGGAAGCAGGGCGTGGTTCAGGTGGCTGTCAGGCTGGGAGGCGACCAACACTGAAGCGGGAAGGGCGGTGTGCAAACGGAGCAGCCTGCCAGCAGCTCCGGCCGTGGGAAAACAGGGGTGCTGACGACCCCATCGAGGCATTCTTGTTTGTTTTAAAGCTGAGAATCCTGCATTCTTAGCTGGCTTTCAGTGGAAGCGGACATCTGCAAGCAGCTGACGGACAGCCCTGTAATGGGGAGGGGGGGACCCAGGTCCCTGTGTGTCTGCAGGAGGTGGCATTTGGGGCAGGAGGGGACCCGGGTCCCAGTGTGTCTGTGGGAGGTGGTGCTCGGGGCTCTCAGTGCTGGCAACGCGACAGCCACTTCTCAGCGAACTGCACCCCTGTGTATCTGCCACCAGACCAGGGACGGCACTGGGTGGTCCGTGTTTATCTTCCCCCTTCACACTAGCATTCTGCTCTTGCAAGTCCTTCCCCAAAGAGCCCTGAAGACTCCTCTTCTGGGTTCCCGAAAACACTTGCTCAAGTCAAATACCCCGAAGGTCACAGTGGCCTCAAGGACACGGAGCAGGCTCGTCAGCCACGTGCTCCTGTGGTTCCGGGGGAGATTCGTCGGCTCGGAGCTCCGAGGAACCTGCCAGGAGGAGTGAGCATTTGGCCCCAAGTCCCTCCTTCCCACCAGGAAAGTCCCGCAGCCGCAGGAAGGGTGTTCTTGGTGACGCTGAAGGCCTCCCGGAGTGCGGGAGGCCAGAACGGCAGGCTCCCACAGGAGCCGAGACTCCCAAGAGCCTGCTCTGGCCGCCGGCGCCTTCCGCGGGGGCGCGATTCCACACGCGGCATTTCTGATCTGCAGCGAGTCCCGGGCCCCCACGGACCCTGCTCCCCTGGCGTTCCCAAGACGGTGACGGAAGCGCAGCCCGCAGCAGAGACATACCCGAACCGGGAATGTGCTCCACCCCTCACCGAACAGTTCCAGTGCACTGACCTGATAATGCCGGGGGCTGACTGGTGCTCAGATGGTCTGAGAAGAGGAGACATGAAAACATGTGTTTTCTCCTCTTTCTGAGGAAATGCCGAGTTTGAAACCCCACTTCCAGCGGGAGGAGAGAATCTTGGCTCATTACCCAGATGGAACTTGGCCGTGCTGGTCGGTTTAGTCCCATTCGTGCCAAATACGCTACTGAGGCTGCTGGGTTCGAATACATTTCTGACGCTGAGGTCTGGAATCTCCCACTGCTGTGAGGAAAGAGAGAAGACATTTCTGTTGGTTTACAAAAATCTCTTTAATAACTGTGGTCTCTCCTCCGGATCCCCTGCACAGGAAACGGGAAACGGGAGACTCCGCCTTACTCAGTGCTCCCCTCTGCAAACCTGTCTGACCTGTGGCAGCCGGCAGCTACCGGCTGGGTGAGTGCTGGCCGCTTGCGCTGTCTGCAGAGGACGCTCGTGGCCCCAGCGGCTGACCTCGATTGCAGGCTGTGGAAAAGCGTCACTATTTCTATCATGAAGTTTCCTGCTCCCAGACAATAAGAATTAAGAAGCTAACAAAAAATTCCAACAAGCAATGGTTTGTAAACACCTAAATTCACTATGCCGATCACCGCCATTAAAGGAAGGAAAAATAAGACTAATGTATAAGAACACATGTAACCGGCCAAAGCAAGAACAGAATATGCTCTTCTAACGGTAATATGACAATCTCCTGCCATCCCTTGAAATAAAACTCAGGATAACAAAGAGGAAATTTCAAACGAGGCACAAAACATGACATCTAGATTCTAAAGCCCACTGGCAACTGACTACAAATGACAGATTCTGACATGTCTGTTTCGGAAGCCACCATCCGCCGTGTCTGACGCCTGGTGGAGAGCGTGAGATGGGCTGCGGGTGCCTGTGGGGAGGGTCTGGAGGAGGCCTTCTCTGGAAGGTTCTACCAACACCTCCAGGGTGGGAAGGGAGGGCCATCTCGACTATGAGAGGAGCAGCCTACAACACACGGTTTTAGAAGGGACCCACAGACACGGAGAAAAGTGGGTTAGAGGCCAAGGCAAGTTTGGAGATCAAGTCAACAGGTTAGAAGTGGGCTATCTAGGAGGGAGCCTCACTCAAACTGAAGACCTCAGCTCTGCATGAGCCCCTGTGAAGAGGACGGACAGACAGCTACAGGCCAGAGGGAAACACTGGCATACTGCGTATCTGACAGCAAGATGATGTCCAGCATACCTAACAACTCAGAGTTAACCAGTGAAAATACAGCAATCCTATTAGAGAACGGGCAAGCCACAGGAACAGACAGCTCACCAAAGATGATGTACGAATGGCAAAGAAACCCATGAAAAGATATTCCACATCACTAACCGTCAGGAAAATGCAAACAAAACCTGCACACCTACTAGACTGGCTAAAATAAAAAGTAGCGAGTGAGAACAGCAAATACTTAGGAGAAGCTGGGGAAATCGGTCACTCACGGTGCTGGTGGGAACGTGTGGTGGTACAGTTGCCATGGAAACCAGTCTGGCAGTCTCACATCAAACAAAACATACAGCAACCATACCGTCCCGCACTGCACGTGAATGGCTCCAGCAGCTGTATTCACAACAACCCCAAACCTGAGGCGGCCCTGCGGTCCTTCAACAGGTGACCAGTGGAACAAATGGACACCTGGGCCGTGGAACACTGCGCCACGAAGGGAAGGAATAAACTGCTGATGCACACAGAACTGTGGATGAATCTCCAGGGAACTGTGCTCAAATGAGTAGCCTGAGGAAAAAAAGTCCTCAAGTATGGATGGGCCCAGGGAGGCTGGATCAGGAGACAGCAGTGAGAGTGATTCACTGTCCTAAGTGCAGCCAGCAATCTATGACTCAGTCAGTGGCTGTGGTCTTCTCAGAGATGAGGACGGAAGGGTGACTGCTGTAGAGACAAAAAGAGGAACTCTGTGTAGACATAGTGTCTGGCAGGCAGCAGGACCTTAATAATCATTACAGGGAGGAAAGGGGTGAAATGCAGTGGATGGAGTGGGTGGAGTGGATGGAATGGAATGGATGGAGTGGAACCGAAGGAGTGGGTGGAATGGGTGGGATGGAACCGAGTGAATGTGCGGATGGAACGGAATTGAAGCTTCTTGCCAAGAGTCTTCTTTCGTTTCTCCTCTCTTTACTAAACATACGTACCTTTTCCTCGGTAACTGTTTTGGTAAGATCACGACCTCAGCGTCAACAAGCTTTTCAGGGACACTCATGAGCTGTACCTGCAGTGACAGCAGGTACAAAACAACAATTTTTGTGAGAATGTTGCTAAGTTAGGTAAGAAGAAACTTCTTACTGTTCACACCTGCATTATCAATTACTTGAGCATTTTCATCCGATGAAAAAGAAATTCTCTGTAGAAGGGAACGGAAGCTTTGACACAACACAGCTAACCTTAACAGTCTAGTCTATTCTCTCAAATTGCTTCTCAGGTAGAAGGCATTGCTTCACTTGCCTCGGACCATCACACAAGGTAACTGAAAATTGGCCAGTTTTCCCTCATTCCCCAAGAAAACACATCTTCCTGCCCCTAAAACATGTCTTTTCTATTCACTCACATACTCCTGGTGGCAGGGCCACCGTACGAAATCTTCAACAGGGCCTCAGATGCCCTTTGCTCAACATCAATACCTGGAGGTTGGTCTTCGCTGACACTGGAGGGGCTTTTCTGCCACATCGCAGGGAGTGACAGCAGTCCTAAATGCAAAACCAGATCAGAGAAGGGACCCTCACCTATCCGCACGTGGCACAGATGGTGGTGAGCAAGGAGCCTGACTAGTGGTGGGTGGTGACTCCTCCAGGGAAATACGGTAATTACTCGCAGGCCTCACGGGGTCTCTGAAACTCACTGCCTCAGCAACCCTGAAAAATAAAAGGGACGTTATTACAAAATGGCAAAGGAGGGCATTCAGCTAGAAAATGGGTTTAAAACCTAATATTAAACTTCAAATTATTGAGCCAGTGATTCTTTCGGATGAAATTTTCAATTCTGTTATTGAACCCTACTCTATTTAACACTCTGCTCTGGCGCCTCCAGGGGTGTCCAGAAAGATGAAATATAATCCCTTGGCCACAGGTAACAGAAAATTTAGTTAAGGCCCAGCAGAATGGCCCAGGAAGCTGTCAGACAACAAAAAGAGTCCACACAACTGGGGACAGAATCTCAGCCATCCCACGTCACCGGCTGTGTAACCTTGGGGAGGCCACTCGCACTGCCTAAACTTTAATTTTCCTAATTATAAAATCGTGTGATAAACAGCAGTAGGGTTGTGTGTGGGGGGGGGGAGAATAAAAAAAGCTTTCCTCCCCTACACCTCCCGGCTCCACTGGCTGGGCCTCCGGAACCAGACTGACCACAGAGAAATGGGAGAAACGCAAGCGGGACTTTGCTCACACGCCCACCAGAGCGCTCAGTGAGGTGCCGCTCCAAGGGCGGCCGGTCACTGGGCTTACGGAGCACGTGAACCAAAAGACCAAGCTCTGGGACAAAGGACAAGGACTTCTGAGTTTCTAGGGCAGTAAATCTGGGGGAGGGAAGCATACGGGGGAACCGTGTTCTGTAGACTCCGCCGGTGTGACCCCTGGGTGAGGGTCCACACTTGTCCCCGGAGATTAGCTCCTGTTCCTCCCAGGAGAAAGGAGACAAGAGACCCCTCTCGAAGGTTCTGTCCTGACTGTAGGCAAACAGGTGCAGGGCAGGCAGTTTTCTTTGTATCCACTTCTTCATAACTTCATACCTTGCCTTCAGCCCAAAATAATCCCTGCGTGCAAGTGGCACGTTTTGGGGCAACACGTTTGACTGCACGTCAGGGAACGTCTACTGTCCTGCTGCCTCCCGTTCTTCTCCTGGTAAAGGCCCTCAGTTTCTCTCCAGGTGACCACCCCTCCCACCCCACCCCCCAGCAGCCCACATGATCCAAAGTTGACTCCATCATGGCTGGGAAGGAAACCCTGCTATATGGTCTGAGTTAACGGTGCGCTGCCTCCCTCAGGCCGCAGTGCTTGCTCAGGGATGAGCCCATGACTCGGGCAGGTCCAGGAAGATGTGACAAAACTCCGGTGGAATGTGAGCTCAGGGCCACCAATGCTGAGGGAGGAGGCCTGGGAAGGGAGAGCCAGAGCGGGCTGCCCGGGGCAGGGAGCCATCAGGTGGATGTGGGATGGGGCTGCCACTGAACCCGGGTACCTAAAGGCCTCGTGAACTACACGGGCCACAGGACTAGTCTGCCTTTGCTTCAGACACTCAGGCTGTGTTTCCTGTCATTTATGATGCAATGAACATATCCTACCTTGTACATAAAATCCGCGCAGAACTGAGATGGCACTGACTTGGTATACAGTAGGTGTTCAATAAATGACAACTGTGCTAATGTTCCTGCCAAATGGAATCATTTACCCCTTGCCCCGGTTACTCGGCCACCTGCTTCTTCTTTCCTCATCTGTACCCTGGATCCTCCCAGCTCAGTTCTCCAAAGCGCTCACTGAGATTTCCACCGGTGGGGGTGAGTCCCGTGTCCTGGTCGTCATCTGACATTGAACAAGGCCCGTGTGTCCCTTCTCAACAACAGGTTTTCTCTAGAAAATAGTCTGGAAGAGCCAGGGTCCCTGAGTTAGCAGTGAGGCCATGCTGGTGGAGAGGTGGGGGGTGGTGGGTGGTACGAAGCACACATCCCTGCCCCCGCACGGTGTCAGGGCTCCTCCCGTGTGTCCTGGACGAAGAGCTGGCCTCTCGGAAGCACGCAGGGGCATCCCACAGGGAGGACAGGTGGAGCCTCCCCACCTCCTGCTGGGCCACTCCGTCATCAGGGGTTGTGACCGAGGCAGGGCAGGGTGGAACCAGCCTGAGACCGCCCTGGGAAGGGGTGGCAGAGACACCAGCGCTGAGTAACACACACCAAAACCGTGTGTCGGTTAAATTTGACAGGGAGCCACCTTTGCTCAGCCCTCGGCCCCCTACACGCGGTGCCTACCCCGACGGCATGGCTGCTCCCCGTGTGGGAAAGAAGACTCCGCTGGTGCCCTCAGGCTCCAGGCTGCGGCCGCAGGCTGGCCGGAGCCGCCGCTGTGTCTGCTGTTTTGCTCAAGCCCAGCACCGTGAGACCGTCCGCAACGAGGCAACGACAGCAAAATCAAATTTGCTTCACGCACACCAGCTGCTTCGAACGCAGGGAAACCAGCTTCCGCTCTGTTGCCACCTCCCTGCGGTCGGACGTAACAACGAGCGGCGTTTCCTGCGTGTTCACCCGGGCCAGCGTCCGTCCTCACCGCCGCCGGGGCGCAGGGGTGACGTCACAGCTCCCCCAGGCGGGGAGGTGACCAGAGACCTCACACAGAGGAGCGGGAGCGGGAGCCCCGTCCCGCCGGCCACGCCGAGCGGCCGCTGCGAGCCTCGCCGTCAGGTGCAGGCCCCGGCCCGACCTCGGGACCCCGGGTTAAGACGGCCGGGCCGGGGCCCCGGAGTCACGGCGTGGAGGGCCCCCTCCGACGGCGCGGGACCGGCCCCGGCGGGAAGTAGACGTCTCTGTGCTGAGCCCCCGACGGGCGGCCGCGACGTGTTCCTGCGGCAACAAGGGAGCGAGAGTCTGCAGGACTGAAAAACGACGTGCTTCCTGTATCGGATCCCAGGCTCCACCACAGACCCCAGGAGGGGGACACCGTCCTCAGGAAGCGGCATGGGGTGTCCCCGCCCCGGCCACCCTATCGGGAAGTCCCGCGCATGTGGGCGTCTTTATCCGCGCTCACCTGGCGTCGGGTAGTCTGTGTGCGCATCTGGCCTGGGCCTGACTCCTGCCTGTCCCGCCCTGTCCCCATGTCCTTCCTCCACCCCCTCATTCTGACTCTCCTGCGGTTTGTCTCCCCATTTCTCGCCCCCACACCCCGATTCTCCACGGCCCCGCTCCCATGCGGCTCAGGCTCCTCGGTTCCGCCCGCTACCACCGCGGGCATCGGTCTCCACAGGCCAGGGGAGACACTGCGCAGGGAGTGGTGAACCACGCAAACAGGGCTGTGTGGCTCTGGTACGTCCCAGAGCTGCCCCTGAGGCAGGAGGCGGACTTCTGGAACATTCTTTTCATTGTACTCCTGCTATGGAAGTGCTTCCTGTGGGGAGCCCAGAAGTCCTCAGACAGGGGCAGCCTTGACCCTGCCCATAGCTTCGTATGATTGGCTGCTGCTTGTGCCAATCCTGTGCCACTCGCTCAGTGATTGGTCTAGGCCGTCATGTGACCCAGGCCTGGCCAATGAACTGCGAGGGGCTGTCTGCGGAGACAATCATGGGAAAGGTTCTCCCACTGGAGGGAAGAGGAGGTGCCGTGTCCCTCCGGTTCCGTCCCGAAGCGGTGGGTGGGAGGCAGTGCCGGTGTCGCTGCGGCCCTTTGGGCTCGGAGCAGGACGCAGGAGGCCCGAGGCTTGCCGGGGACTGAGGCGTGTCTGCCACACCCGAGCGGGGCGACAGAGCCAGGCCCCCGCGGCCGCCCGCCTCCAGCCCGCCTGCCTCAGGCGGGGGAGCTGTCCCTGCGGCCCAGACGGGGAGACCGAGGCTGGCAGAGAGAGAAGACCCGGCCACGCCCAGGCTTTTCTGACCGGAGTCACGAGGTTCCCGCAGCTCAGGACCTTCCCTGTAGCACTTGTCAGACTGTGGTCCGTGTCCACGCCCTCAGCAGAGCCCCTTGAAGTCCGTGCCTCCCGGGGGGCCTGCTTCCGGGAACCCGGCGTGCTCTGCGCGGGATTCGGACCCCTCCCCCCCACGTGCGGGGGAGCTACTGCCACCTCCCTCTGCTTGGGGGTGTGCGGACGCGTGGTTTGTCCTGTGACTCGGGATCTGTGCTCAGCAGGGAAGACGGAGGTGCACAAATGTGTGGCAAGTTCCTACTCCGGTAGGGGTGCCAGTTACGCGTTCTGACACAACAGGGACCCATTTAGTTGTTCTGGTAACCGTGGGACGCTTGGGATTCTAACGCACCGGGACTGGGCCGGGAGAGGAGCAGGCTGTGTGTCCCCCCAGGACGTGTGTTGATGGGATTTTCCTGAATATGCCCCAGAACCATTGTCCCCTCTGCCGGGCGTTGGAGGGCACGTGACCCAGTGGCGGGGTCCCTGGAGGGCACACGGTGCGCGGATGCAACAC